TGTAAATTATAATTAAATAAAATTTATTAAAACTTCTTTTTTATTCATTTTCATATAAGTAGTAGTGTTTTGTAGAGTATGTAAAATCACAACATATTTAATTATTTCTTTCACATTTTTTTTTAATAATAAGTAACATAATCATATAGCATCTGTAGCGTAATGTTTTGTGCCATCAGATGCTCTGAATAAAATCTCAGTACATACTGTCCCTTCATCAGATAATTGCCTAATGGAAACGGTTTTTATTTTGCTGTGTAGCTCTCTCAGTACCTCAAATATTTCGCTTTATTAATGAACTTGGCATATTAAATATTAATTTGGCAACTCTGCACTCAACGCCAACACCTTCTGTATATGTATATACCACATACCCGAGAACAGCCGTCAACGTAGATATACGAAATTTAGCCAAACGCTTCTGCATTCTAGCCAGAGTGTCAGTAGCCAAAGTTGTGTGCATGCTTAACCCGCTTTGCACCGGGCTTTGCACCGGGCTCCTGCCGAAACAATGTTCCGACCTCTGCCCGGCTCATTCTAATGGCAGCACATTTTTGTGATGGGGGCCAAATGTAATTGCAGATGCCTGGGGCCCGGTGCAAAGGCAGGGCCTAGCCCCTTGAATTATAAAACGCGCCGAGGCTCCCCCGTTCGCCGTCAGGCAGTTTAACTTAATTACAGGCTCTACTAACTGACGTCGGAGTCTCGACTCGACTCGTCGTCGACCTCACATCAGGCGTAAATGAACGGAAATGAATTCATAAAATGCGAGGCGCAAATGCGTTGCAAACTCAACGTGACGCAACGTTGCGCGTTCAAAAGTGTAAATAATATGTGTGCTTAGTTTGTCAAGTGCTAGGAGAGGGAGGCAGGCAGAGTGTGTGTGGTCGGATATATCTGTGTCTGTGTGTGCGTGGTTGCATTTGTAGCTTTTTGGAGTTGCTGACTTAGCAGCTCAAAAACTCATCAGCAGCCGCATGCGCTTTGTATGAAGGCAATAACTAAATGCATCACTAACAAACGCTCCACACAAAAGCCAGCAGGGGCTGCTGGGGCTTTGACTACAGTTACGAGCTGGCGGTGTCACCGAATTAAACAAATAAACTCCCTTTGCCAGCGGATGTTGCACTCAAAAGCGTTGACATTAAGTTCCTCTAGTGCACTGCAAATAAGTTGGCTCGCGTGTATTTCAACACGGTTCCGGTTTGCCACACCCATCAAATAGAAATATTCGACGCATGGAATAAAAGTTTTTCGAATTAAAGGTTGGATTATGTGAAATGCCATTTTCGACGGAAATTAAATTGAAATAGAGGAAAATACAGAAAAATAAAAATCAACAATTGGGGAAAATATAGAAAAATAAAATACAGAAATACTGAAAGATTTTA